ACCTGGCCAACCACCCAGCTGTGAGAGCCATAAACACGGTCATACCCACTGACATTTTGTGGGTGCTGTGGCGACGAGTAACTGGCACACTGACCAGCTGACGCCATTGTCTTGTGCCTGTGACCTGGGTCGAATGTCTGCTCCTCCTCGCCTTGCACAGTGCCATGGTCTCAGGCATGAACCTCATTTCACCATCCGAGGTAGATATCATGCCTTTGTCTCCCCAGCTCAGCCTACCGGCCGCGTGACCCTAGGCCGCCCTCCCCTTTCGGTGTCTCCCCTGGCAAAGGGGGCTTAAAAGGCCTGCTGTGAGGAGTAAAAGACATAGCATGCTTCACATGGGGTCTGACACTTAGTAAACATTTTGCATACATCCTTCATGTAATTCTCCCAACCACCTTATGCTGTGGGACCATTATTGTCACCACCCATCATATATGTGAGCAAACTGAGACCCAGAAAGGTCTCTAGCTGGTAGGTCAGAGCTGAGTCTTGTGGGTCTGCATCCTGTGTGTTTACCACTAGTCATATGGGATGTCTCTGTTGGGATGACCCAGAGGCAGACCCAGGAAAGGGTTCTCTGTGGGGGCGCTGGGGTGGGCTAGGCTTGGGGCCAGGCCTGCTGTCACTGCCGAGGACACCCCGGCCTCACTGACAGCAACAAGGACTCTGCTAATCAATGTGTGTCCTCCCACCCCTGTTAGCAACGCTCCTTTGGAAAAAAGCCATCTGCCAGGATAAAAAATGCAGCCAATTAAGGCCCCATTTAATGAGCCGGTGACGGGCTGTGGCAAGGACAGAGCGAGGGGCCTGAAGCCATGCCTGTTCTGTCAGATGGGCTCGTGAAGACATCTACGTTGGTGCAGGGAGAGGCTCAGTCACAGACAGAGTGAGCAGAGGGCTGCCACTGCCAGGGACCAAGACACACGCTATGGCAAGGGCCTTGCGCTGTTCCCAATGCTTCAGATGCTCCCCCCACCTATCATCTTTGGGTAGGATGGCCATCAGGGCCTCCTCCTTGGTCTCTTGGCGCCCCACACTATGCCCTCCAACCCACCCCCCAAGGCGGGCAGAGCGAGCTTTCTGAAAGGTGTCCTTCTCCCGCTAACTCCCTCCCGTGATACCTGAGTGCAGGCAGGGCTAACCCAAAGCCCAGGTGCTGCAACCCCGCTGCCCTCTCCCCCATCGCCTACATACTCACTTTTGAGGAATGCGCAGTAAGGGTGGTGGGCTTCCGGTGCCTGAGGCCGCACCAGCGGGATTCAGCTCAGCTCTGCTCAGTCCAAGCTGATGTAATTTCTTTAAAAACTGTGTGGGCTTTCTGTGTGTGTATCAGATTAACATTAGGCCAAAGCTGCACCCACAGAACTTTTTGAGACACCCTCTCTCCGTTTTGGGCCGTGGGGCAAAGGTCTTAAAAAATTTTAAAGTTCTCTGTTCTAGCCAAGAGAGTCTAAGATGCCCGCTTTTGAGATTCTTAGAAGCATTTTCATCAGCTGAGAGAGTTTTAATCACTGCCTTCAATGTTTCTTAACCACATCTGTTACTCCTGACAGTGGAACCTTGAGAATTTGCTTGACCAAGACCATGCTATATTGGCAACACTCTACGTTTGCTCTTTGCCTTAGGGCGAGTCCTTTCCTGGGGGGGCTCTGGAGTTGTTGCCCCTGGTGGCCCATCCAACCAACCCTCCAGTATGTGCCCTTGTGCATGACTCTCAGGGGAGACACCTTGGGCCCAACCTGAATTTTCTAGAATAACTCCCACCATTGCAGTGACAACAACCACCAGCTGCTCACCCGTTGTTCATCCCTTCCAAGGAACAGGGGCCACCCCAGACCACCACGTCCCACCATGTCAATTTGGGGAGATGTGCCCACCCAAAGACCAGTGGGCGCATTGAGGCATTTTCCTGTTCCTTCCAGCTATAGAATGGGCTTGTTTTGTTTATGGGGAAAGAGGGACTCAAGACAAGCTTAAAAAGAAATTAAATGTCCACAAAAAGACATATACACATTTTGTTCCTAGTAGTAAAAACCTGGAAATAGCCCCGGTTCCTTTCAAGAGGAGATGTTTAACCAGACTGTGGTCCATCCAACCACAGAGTACTACTCAGCACTGACAAAAGAACCTGCTACAGATATAGCAGCTAGGATGAATTTCAAAGGAACTGAGTGAACAAGACAGACACAAAAGTTATTCACCAACTTTTGTGTGGCCCCATTCAAAGGAAGTTCTAGACTAGGCAACATGGATCTAAGGTAACCAAGATGGCGATGACCCTGGGGCGGGTGGGGGGCACAAGGGGACCATCTGGGGTGATGCTCATGCTCTCTATATCTTGACAGAGGTTTGCTTTGTGGGATGTGTCCATCTGTCAAAACTCAGCAAATGTTCCCTTTAGATTTGTGCATTTCACTGTTGGTAAATTTTGCCCCCAAAAAACAAAACCAGGAGCGGCCGGATGGCTAGGTTGGTTAGAACTCGAGCTCTGAGCAACAGGGTTGCTGGTTCGATTTCCACATGGGCCAGTGAGTTGCGCCCTCTGCAACTAGATTGAAGACAATGACTTGAGCTGAGCTGTCGCTGAGCTGCCGGTGGGTGGCTGGATGGCTCAGGTGATTAGAGCACATGCTCTCAACAACAAGGTTGCCGGTTTGACTCGCGCATGGGATGGTGGGCTGTGACCCCCGCAACTAGATTGAACAAATGGCGACTGGACTTGGAGCTGAGCTGCACCCTCCACAACTAAGATTGAAGGACAACAACTTGACTTGGAGCTGATGGGTCCTGGGAAAAACACAGTTTCCCAATCAAGTTAAAAAAAAACAACCCAAAAACCAGAAGCAAATATTGACCTCCAACTAATGATAGGCATATTAGGGCTGAAGTGTACTGATATCTTAACTGCCTTTAAACTGCACTGAAAAAAGTGAGACAGATGGGTATGTGGATGGGGCTGTCTCAGACAGTAAGTAGAGCAATGCATGCAGTGAGCACATGGGTGTACACTGCACAAGTCTTTCGACTCTCCTTTATGTGACAATTTTCATAACAAAATGTTAGGGAGAAAGACGAATAAAGAAGGCTAGCAGTGCCCCCCCACTCCTGCCCCGGGGTCCGCCGCTGCTCCAGTGGGGCTGTTGCAGGTCATGGCGGCTGTGCCATCTGGAGCTCAAACCTAATTATTCCCGACTTATTAACTTAAAGCCAATTAGAATCTTCCCATCAACCTGTACATGCAGCTGAGAGTCAGACAGCGACAGGAGTGAGGGGCCTGCTCAGGACCCAGCAGGGAGGGAGAGGAAGTAGGCTGGCTGGGTCCAGAGGCCTCTGCAGGGCAGAGGGAAAGACACTGCCATGGGGCTCCAGGGCCAGCCAGCTGGACACGCTGGGCGGGGCTGGGCCTCAGCGACCGTAGGGGTGAGGGTCTCTGGTGCAAAGCCTGTGTTCCTGACTTGAACAGAAAGGCCCCCAGAAACTGGCCAAGCCCAGGCCCAGAGTGGAGGAGGCCCTTCCTTAGGAAGCAGTCAGCCCCCATCTGCTCATGTAGCTCAGTACACTGCCCGCTCTCCTTCCATTCGAGCACTGTCAGTCTCGCGAGAAAAGGAGACCCGGCCATCTGGGTCAAAAGGCTAAGTGAATAAACTAACAAACCCCACGACTCTCTCCTAAGAGGGGCAAGGACGCCGCGTGGTGCTGAGCAGGACTGGGTGGGGGTCGGCGCTACGGGCACCGGCTAGGGGTAGGCTCTGGGCCAAGTGCACAGTCTGCTCAAACCACACGGTGACCCTGGGGGGAAACTATCACAGAGGGCGAGCCGGGCCTCAGAGAGGTGAAAGTGCTTGCTGGGGTCACACCGCACGGCCAAGCAATGTTGGCCCCTTCTCAGCCACCTGTCGGTCCTGCGGGTTATGCCGCCTGCTAGGACCCCTAGACTCCAAGCCCAGAGATCAGAGAGAGTCACACCCCAGGCCAGGCTTCCAAAACTGGGGTCCCCATACGTGGCCTTCTGGGCCTCCACCCCTCAAGACACCCAGGTGATTAGCCAGTGAGGTGGGATAAAGGCCCCCAGCTGCTGGAGGTTAGCCGGGAAAAGGGCAGTTGCTTTTAGCAGGAAGAGCTTTTCATTATGCTTCTGTGGATGCGGTTGGGGGGATGGGATGCTTGGGGACAGGTACCAGCAGCTGCCCCTGGAGCCCTGACTTCCTCTCTCCCTACCCCCTCTAAACCCTCCTGTGAGCCTGCCCACCCTGGACCCTGCACCGCCCTCTGTCCCCTGCAGTCTCCTCACCCACCCAGCCTGTCCCTCTCTAGATGCACCAGCCACACCCCATTCCCTACACTCTCCCCTCCCCTGCCATGAGGGGACTACTTCCCAAGCTTTTACCCATGTGGTTCCCTCCACCTGGAGGGCCTGCCTGTCAACACACACTCCCTCCCCCCCTCCCCCATCTCCTATCGATTGTGAAGTCTCAGTGCCACAGTCCGTCTCCAGGGAGCCTCCCCTGACTGCTGGTAGAGATGACCCTGAGTACTCACAGGGTGGCAGGCACCATGTGAGGGAGGCTCCGCGACACCATGTTTTGCAGGTGGGGACAAGGCCCAGAGAGGCAAAGGCATTTGCCCAGGTCGCAAGGTGGCTGGGTAAGTGAAGGGCTGGGTGAACACACTGGGGCAGAGTGACGCCAGCCCAGGGTTCGGCCACCACGTGCTGACCCCAGACAAAGCGGGGAAGGGTGACTAGGCTCTCACAGATACCCCAGTTCCCGGAGCACCCAACAACAGCTCTGTCCTACTGCTCTGGGAATAGCATGCCTATTTCACAGGTGAGAAAACAGACGTCAGCCAGCCCAAGGGCCTGGCCCACGGCTGGCTTCCCAGCCGGACGCTGAGGGCGTGGCAGAGGCAGGGCTGGAGCCCAGCCTGTCTGGACCCCAAGCCAGCGCCCTTTCTCTCCAGGTTTCCCGCCGAGGCTCGTGGCCACACCGGGGCCTTACCTGGGCTCTGCCGTGCTCCCTCTGTGGCCTCTCCCGGGCAGTCGGAATTCGCTGTCAGGCACGCGTGCAAAGGAGCCTTTGTACTCTCTATTTACAAGAGGAGGCTTGTGAGCAAATTAGCAGGGTAACCAGGGAAAATGTTTGGCTTCCGTGGGTGGGAGCTGGAGCCATCTGTTCCCAAGTGCTGAGAAAACACTGGAGCAGTCGCTGGAGCCACCAAGCCCAGCGGAGCTGCCGAGTGCTGCCTGGCCCGCAGGCTGTGTCCTGGGCAGGGCGCTCCTCCTCGCGGGGCCTCAGGGCGCCTGTCCAGCCCTTGGCTCCAGAACGCTCCGCACCTGCATCTGCTCCTGCTCCTCTCTCAGGGCTCCCAGCCCCAGCCCTTCCCCAACATGCCGGTGGGGTGGGGGCGGGAGGCAGGGCAAGAGGACACGACAGCGCCAGCTTTGGGGTTTTAGTTACCACTAGACTCATTTGTCCCCAAGCTGGAAATAGCTTTATAAGATGATAATTCACCAGTCTAGAAATTTGTGACACAGAATGGTAAACCGAGCAAGATACACATCCCTTTGGGCGGAAGCGGAGAGCATCTGTCTAGAAGTCTCTCTCAACAGCTTGCCCGTGTCGGGGGTCTGTGAAAGGGTGAGATGGTTGACTGCGATATTTCAGAGATTGAGAGGCAGATAGAGATGGTAGACGTTAGAGAGAGATGGAGAGGGAGACAGAATAGAGATAGAGGTAGATAGATAATAGAGACAGACGGAGGGAGGGAGGGAGAGAATTGCTGCCCCCATCCAGGGCACGTTCGTGTAACAGTTTGTTCACTCGAGTTATAACTCTTGACGCTTTGGACCTGTGGTGTGTGGGCCGTTGGCTTTTGACCCTTGCCCCAGGCCCTGCAAATTCAGAGGCCTGCCTGACCCCAAGTTCCAAACTCGATACTTGGGTTCTGGGGTTTCGTCTGCCCAGAACACTGTCCCCTTGGAAGCCTTCCTGAGCTGTCAGAACACCAGCCACCTTGGAGGGCTGTGCCATCAGGAGGTGGAGCCCATGCCCAGGCCCAAGGCTGCGTGCCGGGGGCCCGCTCTGTCTGCCAGGGGCCCGTCCCAGCCCAGGAGAAGCCTGGCGTAGGCGGCTATTTCCTCCCTGAAAGGAGCTTATCTTGGCTGAATTCTCCTAATCCTTTTGGAGGATTAAAGAAACTCAGTGCACGTCGCTTAATGCTGGTTAAGGATTTAATAGGCTTCAGGCTGTCCAAGAGAAAGCCTGGCGACCTTGTTCTTCACTGGCTGGGTGACCTTGGTCTGGGCGACCTTGGTCTGGGCTCCGTTCTTCCACCTGTAAAGGAAAGCGGTTGGTGTGCTCTGCGGCCCCTGAGATGTGTCTAGGGGGTGGGCTGTGCTGTAATGCGTGGGTTTGGAAAGTGTCTCACCCCATCTGCCCCAGGGGTTGGGGGCAGGTAGGGGTGTCAGCCATGAAGCAGGAGGCCAGTTCTGGAAACTGCAAGTTCAAGATCAAGGTGTCGGCAGGGCTGGTTCCTCCTGAGGCCTCTCTCCTTGGCTTCCAGATGGTCGTCTTCTCTCTGTGTCCTCACACGGTTGTCCCTCTGTGCATATCTGTGCCCTAATCTCCTCTTCCTAAAAGGGCACCAGTCATGTGGGATTGGGGCCCACCCAATCCTATTTTACCTTATTCACCTATTTAAAGGCCCTATCTCCAAATACAGTCACATCCTAGGGGCTAGGACTTCAAAATATGAATTTGGGGGGGCGGACACAGTTCATCTGTTGTTTTAAGTCACCGATTTGTGGTACTTTGTTACAGCAGCCACAGGAAACTCCAACATGACAACTCAGGGCTCCCAAGAGACACTGGGAGAAGCACATAGCTTTTTGTGACGCAGTCTCCGTCATCGTCCATCACGTTCTGTTCATGGTGGCCATCACAGAGGCCTGCCCAGGCTCATGGGGAGGGGACCAGGACTCTACCTTTTGATGGGAGGAATGGCCGAGAATTTGCAGGTAACCCCCACTGAGGAGTGGATGGATTGGGAGAAAACGTTGATGGTGAGAAAGAAAAGAGGGGAAGGAAAGTTATCAAAAAGAAAGATTGTAGAAGAATAAAATAATCTACACACTGTAATGCTCAGGGACTCAGTCTACCTAGAAACCTCTTCATGGTTTGCAAAACCTTGTTTTCCGCTCTTGTGATTTGTGGGTTAACATCTCCAGATAGGATGTTCCCTTTATAGCCAAAGGCTGTAAGATGTCTGATGGCTTCCAATCCAGTTCTCTCTGTTTTCTTGGGTTTTTAGGGGAAGCTTCATAACTGATGGTGCGGCTGCTTCCCGCACCCCTGGGAGCTGAGGGCACTTCAGGTTTCTCCACCTTGACCTGAGAAAGGAGGAGAAGCCACAGGCTGTCCATTCGCGGCTTCGCTGGGACTCAGTCGGCCAGCACACCAACTGCCTGACCTTGGGCAAGTTGCACCTCTGCCCTTGGCCTTGGTCATCACACCCATGAGGCAGGGGCCAGAGTGGGTGGCAGGCACAGTTCTCTGCACAGAATCGTCAACCAGGGACGAACTTACCCGTCAAAGCTGTGTGCGCATACATGTGAGCTTCGCTCTCCTTCTGGGCTACAGCCACGGTTAACGACGGCTCTTGTCACAGCAGACCAGGCCACCCACAGCTCCTAGCTCACAGCCACCATCTTCATCTCCCAAGAGGGCCTGATGCTTCTCTTCATCCCAATGTGAAAAGTCCCAGGGGAGAATTCTGATTGGCCCAGCTTGCGCCACATGGCCACCCGGGGGCTGGGAGGGCAGTAGGGGGACTCTTCCCCAGAGGAGGTGCTATTCCAGGACGGAGGAGGGTGCCAACATTCTGAGCAATGAGGGTTGCGCTACTGCATCCAGAATATTCTTCAAGAGAGGAGAGAGCCAGAAGTTTAGGGAAAACAAGACTCTAAGAGTTAAGTGGGAAACAAGCCCTCAAGTCTATTCTGGTCCCTTTGATCCTTATCGGTATTGTCAAGTCCATGACTACGAACGAGGAGATGAGCGTTTTTAAGCCGTGAGTGAGTTTTGTAAGCAGCCAAGTTTATATTTTTATCACTGAGTCCTCCCCAGCGATTGTGGTGGGGCATGAAAGGGTGTCCTCAGGGGAACTGTGGTGCCTCCGGGGGTGGGGGACACTCACCCAGGCACTGATGGAGGGGGCTGCTCTGCATTGTTTTGTGGCTTCATTTCTGCCCCTGGGCACTGCCTCTGTCTGGTGCCTGCACAGCCCCCTCCTCTCTGGCTGCAGCCATGTGTCTGTCCTCTGCCTCTCCAAGGACATTTACAAGCAAGTTGGAGCTTTGGAGCAGACAGCGTCATCCACTCACTCAGCCTGATTTCACTCGAAACAACAATCTTCAGCTTGTGAGGCCACACACAGTGACACTCACACAGTGACAACAACAGTGACACACAGACTACGTATGCATGTGAGACACACACTCAGACACACCAACACACACAGACTTATATATACCCGTACACGTACAGAGGCATCCACACATAAACACACCCAAACACGAACACACGCACACACACTTGTCAGTGTGGACAGGGTGGCTGTTAACAAGTTTTCTGATTTGCCACGAAGGCAAAGACTTGTCCACGTTCTTGAGCAGAAACGTGAGGTCACAGAGGGGTCACAGGCTTGAATGGTCAGCAGGAGCCATTCCTCAGGACCAGGCTCTGCTGGCTGACCCCCCACCAGAATTCTGGGGAGCCCTGCACTTGGGCCTGGCTCTGGCATGGCGGTCCGAGGATGCTACAGACATCTTGGCAGCACGCTGAGTTCTGGCAGAGTGTCCAGCTGCCCCGGCGGGTGGAGGATGCCACATGAACGCCTCATTTTCTGGAAGCACATGGACATTTTGTCCAAACTCACTTGCATTCCTGCCAAACGGGGCATGGGCCAAGGCGTTCAGGGCAGGAGTGACCAACCTGGCCTCGAGGGGCGTAACTTTGGTGTGTCTAATCAATGCTCAAATTTTCCCAACCGTTTCATATATTTTCCAACTTTTTATTTGGAAAAATGTCAATCTTACAAAATGGTGGAAAGAATGGTGCAGTGAACACCTATGGACCCTCCACCCTTATTATCATAATCTTTCGGAATTGATGTCCAGAGTTCTATTATTAGGTACACATCATTTTTAACCATCCCAGGCAAGTCATTATTACTGTTTTTTGTTTTTTTTTTAATAGTCAGTATGCCTTTATATTTGCCAACAGGCTTATCAATGTCTTTGCTCAACGTTTTTGTTTTTGTTTTTTAAAAAAAACCACAGGATACCTCTCTTCTTTTATTTTTATTTCTTTTATATCCTTGTGGAAAAATTTGTAATTACTCATTCATTCAACAAGTATTTCTTGGGCAGCTCTAGACATTGTCGCCCTTGTTATGTGAATCCCACTCATTTCATTAAGTGAATTACTCAGTGTTTTATGTCTTCACTGCTGTCGTGAGCAACTTTTCCTGTCACTATGAGCGGCGTTTCTTCACTGCTGTATTGTCTGAGTGCGGCTGGGATGGAGAAACTGTTGATTCGTGAGTGTCACTTTCATAACCAGATGCTAATGGAGCATTCTTATTGGTCCCAACACAGTCCCATGGGTTTTCTAGGGTTTCTCAGGAAGACAGTCATATTATTTGCAGATAATGATAATTCTGCCTCCTCTTCTGATATTTTTTGTTTTAATTGTGATAAAATATACATAACATACAATTTCCTGTTTTAACCATTTTTCAGTGTACAGGTCAGTGGCGTTAAGTACATTTGCCACTGTGTAACTACCGCCAATCTATTTCCAGAACTTTTTCATTATTCCAAACAGAGGCTCTGTCCCCATTACACAGTCACCTCCACTCCCTCCCCCGCCCTGGCGCCAGGCCCCTGGACACGGCCAATGGGTCTTCTTCAGGGCTGGTGGCCAGGGCGGCCGTATCCCTTCTCACGGGGCAGCAACTCAGGGACTTGCGTTTGGAACAGCCTGCGCATGCTCCTCACCTCAGAACGAAGGTCCAGCTGCAAGCTGGGGTCTGCACCTGGGCTCCACACCCCGGGCCCTGGGCTGTAAGCCAACCTCAC